TTCACGCAGACAGCGACAGACTAGTCCCAACTGACCAAGTTATACATTAGCACTCGAAGGGAAGTACAACGCTATGGTCACTCACCTAGTCCCAATGACCAAGAGGTCGAGATGGGGACTAGGGAGCGGCCTAGGGGGGGTCCTTATATACTAGAAGGGCTGCTTAGCAACCAAGGGCAAGGCACGAGAGCGAGGCAGTGAAGATGACAAAGGGAGAACAAAGGGCGAGAAAGAAAAGGCAAGGGCATGGCGATCACGGGAACGTAGCATGCGGTTGTGGGAACGTATCTACAGTGTCCAAACTGGGATGAGCTAGGAAAGGAAACGGTCCGGAAATGGAAGGTGGGCGTCAGAGGGAAGGGAATGGGCGGCAAAAAGGGGCGTCTGTCCAACGTCCGTGACAGTATCCGCCTCGGAACGCCTCCTCAGCTGACGATGCTTGAGTCACTGCATAAGAGGTGAAACAGGTTGTTTATACTCAGTGAGAAACACCATTGTTGTGTAGACATGAATTGGTATCCTATCTTGAAGTTTGTATAGGATGTCTTCGAAATTTCTACCCCCAGCTTGACGTGGTAAATATGCTCACATTACTTTGCTGATAGAAGGTCGGAAGAATCACACCATCTGGACAGGACAGGAACCTAGAAACACTGCAACTGCAGCCACAAGATGTATCCCACTGTCGAACTTTGAAACTACACCGCGTGAGTCCTACTAGCAATGTAGCCGCCGTGTACTCATCATAGCATCTGATATCTGGCACAGAGGTGTTCGTCACTCAACCTTTGGCAATTGGATGAACTGACTCGTGCAGTGCATGATAGTATCATCCAACTGCACATCTTGCGACCAGATCACCCAACAAAGAGCTTTGATTCGAGTGCGCGGACGGCTGTCATGCGCATGACAGTTAAGCGGAATTTCTCTAGGACCTCGTAGAACGGCCATCTCGGTGGTGACCAATGTCGGAGAAGCCGCAGTGCGTCAATAGGATGCTTTATGTAGCTGACTCTTTGGGGCCTCAACCCTCCTTGCATCCTCCTTCTGCCAACTCGCTCAGACGTTGCTACATCAGTGCTGACTTAGCCATGATGCTGACCCTGCAAGCGGCCAGCATTTCTTCGACCACTGTAGAAGCTATCCTTTATGGTATGTTCCAAAACTCATTGTATACCAAGTTCAATCATATCTTCCCAAACAACAACTGGATACTCGGTCTTCATGTTCATGCTAGCTACGTGGATAATGCTTCGGGGCAGAACAAGGCGGCATGTCAATCACTGCATGGTTGCTGCCGGATGCGGATTGATACTTTTGGCGACTGCAGTGCGTCCAATGCCCTTGCGCTTCGATAGAAGCTATTCATTGATTCCATGTTTTACAGGAGATGGCCATCAATATTGCTCGGGTGTACCAGGGCTTCATTTCAAACGGTCCTTTCATAGATGGAGGACCCGAAGCATATTTCACCCAAGTTTTGGAACCAACATTCGTTGTCAAGAGTTGCCTGTACAATGCTCAAACACTCATTTTGGACGCCGTAGTGGTAGGCTCCCATTCTGAATTTAACATGCGGCCCTAATGTTCCTCAGTAGATATACCGTACCTACGTTGTTTGGCAAAATATTCTGATATGTGTAGTCCCAATGATAGCGTGGTGTGGACTGTTAGGTATGAGTCCCCGCTCGACTCTCGCTCCTGCTGCTCACCTACAAACTGTTGACTCTAGCTGGCGCAATCGGCTTGAATATTGCTCTAGCCACGGCCCACAAAGGAGGCGTGTTTGCAGTTCAAACCAGTGAATGGATCACGTCATTCTATGCACTAACTCTAGCCACCAATCTATCAGCAACAAGTGCGTAATGAGAGTCGTTCTGTTGCTTATCTGTGTGCCTGACTACCTGTTGGCACGGGCTAATCGCAGCCCTTCTTGCGTTCAGAATCTGGACGGTCACTCGCCGATCCGCTCAGTACCGCTCTAGCAACTTCCTCGCCCCAGTGCTGCGGGTTATCATCGAGAGCGGAGCAATATACTCGATGACGATTACTGCAGTGCTCATCTCCTTCGTAGTCAAGTCCAATGGTGTGTATGTCCTGCTCGACATGGTGAGCCGCACATTCCCTTGCTGCCTCTTATCTTGCAACTTTCATGGCCCTGATGCGCGATCCTACCTCTGTAGATCTGCCCCATCATCTCCATAGTGTTCAACATGCTCATTATCCGTGTCGACCTCGCCCACAAATCCAGCTCCAGCACGAGTGGTTCGAACAGCTTGGAGACCGCCGTGATGTCAGACCGTGGCGTTCACGTGCGGCGACATCTCGAGGACACGTTCGAGATGAAGGACATCGATCGAGATTACCCAGGTCGTCGAGGACGACTCTCGATACGAGCAGTAGCGGGAGATGGTCACGGATTCCCTGGAATCGGGAACCTCAACAGACTCGCTCCCACCTATGGACCTGAAGGGAGGGCCCCTGGACCCGAGATTTGCAGACTTTCAACCCAAGGGGTCGAAGCACACTCAGAGAAAGCCGTGAACGAACCGATCATTTGAGAGATGACTACCGGTGTTAGTAAGACGGACGGTGTTCGCCTGGGACTGGGGACATGCTGGGTTTTAGGTTAGGGACGAATCAAGTTATGCATTCGTTTCGCATTGAACGAATGCCGTACCCAGTCATAATTGTATGATCGTCTCTCACCACAGTGTCTGCCCGAGTTCCTGCCAGTGGAGCGGAGAACATGGTGCAGCGGATTCAGACCAAGACCATGATAATCCCACGAGTCCTCTACGAATTCAGTGCGCCTCTCGACATGATCCGTCACTCCGGCCACTTCGAACCTAGACGAGGGCGTCGCTCTTTCTCAGCAGGCGTTGATTGTATCTGAACACCTCCTCCGCGTAGTGTATGTTAACATTGTTGGGATTGGCACGTTCCGTAAGAGGCGAAATAGGCTGCATGCACTCAGTGAGAACCGCCTTTGCTGTCTATACCAATACTTGAAACGGTGTCTTACCTTGAATGTTACATAGGATGTCTTCGACCATTCTACCCCTAACCTGACTTGGTGGATCCGCTCACATTGACCTTCAGTGCTCCGGACATCGTCTAGGTTCAAATAGAATCGGGAAATGAGAACTGGAATCAAGCTGATTGCAGGTGAGCAAAGCTTCTATCATGTCGGACCGATTGCACTCTTACATGTTGAAGATGGCACAAGCCGAAATGAACTGGACATCAAGCACGAAGTTTGCGATGACTGAGGCGGTATTAATCAGCATGATAGCGCTATATGACAGGCCAAACGGATCAGCTAGGGTTCCGCACTCCAAGACATTGATAAACCGACACAAAGTAGTAGAAACCTTCCCTAACAATCCGTTGGGCAAGTTGAGTCATAGCCCGGGGCTTGTTCGGCCCGAACACCATATTCCGCAGTTGAACTAGCACTGCTAGGATTCCAATAGCCTCCGCGATAGGCAACGGGAGTGTTGAACAATGAAAAGTTGGTCAGACCGGGGATTGAACCCAGGTCATCCCATATGCACTGGGAGGTGTTAACACTACACCATCCAACCGATACTAGAGTGTGAATTCTACAGATTCCAACACTCCCCCTGAAGTCACACTCTGGTGATCAATCAAGGAACCAACTTTTTCAAATGAAGTTACCCTCAGGCACATTTCCCGAGGCGGGGGTTCTCTAACCCTGCTCCCTTCGAAGCGCCACACAGGGCTCATAACCTGTTGAACTCGGGGCTGTGAAGACAAGGATTAGATCCGACTAGAGTCGAAGCAAGATCTTCAGTCAGTAAGGAAAGACTGTATTGCAGCAACGAACTGTACCTAGAGTCGAAGCAAGACTACAAAGGTTAAGTAAGTAACTACAAGTTAGAGGTAAAGGTAACGAAGTACTCACTCTTCAGTCAGTAAGGAAAGACTGAAGAGGGAGGACGCAATCTGAAGTCCTTATATACTACAGAGAAGTGTCCATGACTAATCGAAGAGTGGTTAGTCACATGTACCATAGTGCGATGAATAATACGATGGTGAAAGAATTAC